ATCATTCCATATTGACCTTAGAGGTACACACCTCTTTCGTACGAGCTTGAACGCACTGTCACTCTAGGAACCTCCACCTTCCAGATACATTAAAATTTATCGTCACATTATTTCTGGTTTATCGAACTGCAGGCCAGATGTGCGCTGCATCCATGGCCGACATATGTTCTTTAGAACTACTTGTATATGCTCGATGTAACATAGCGTTTTATCGTTTCATGAGTGATTCAGTTTGGATCCACCCTTCGGCTCCCTCCACATTTACTTTAGTCACCATATATGTTATCTCATTCATCAACTAATTGTCTTATGCGATTCAGTTATTAATTCAGTCTTGTCTTTGCTGAAAACGGAGTCTACTGTCACCTCTTTCAAGACGTTAAGCCTTCATAGTACATGTGACTGAATTGTTGAAGCCTCGCTGGTTAACATCTCATTGTCGGTCACGCCAGGCCATGTATAAAATGCACCATTAGCTAGCAGCTACTTGACTGATCTGAACTTGAATCCAACACGCGATGTATCTGGTTCCATCCGGTAAAGAAAAAACAGGTAATCGTTAATATATGAATTTCTAATTGTCACAAGGATTTTTTCAATTGATTTCTTCGCGTGATTTTCCTACCATTATTAGACGAAGCACTACTTCCTTCAGAGGAACAAGTTCGTAATTTTTTGACTAACACTGCTGAAATCTCAACAATATTCCTGCAATACCAACACTTCGTAACCTTTTAATTTCTACGTAAAGTGTAAGAAAGGTATTTACAGAAGCATATCCACGAATTTGCACAGGTTCATAGAATAAAAGCAATATATTTTCCAGAGAAACGCGTTCAGTTCAGGATAAAAACTTCGAAATTATGAAGTTACTCAGGAATAGCTCGCACAATCTGATAAAATAGACAGCAAGAGCAGTATGGAAATCACTGAAACTGTTCAATAATACGGGAAAAAAATCTATACGGGTATGTGCCACAGCGTGCGAAATGGGCTGCATGTTACAATGAGCTTGAAGCACTAGCTCCGTACAAGTGAAATGAGTTTAGTTGGATGAATCACGTCAAGTTTATCAATAGGCAGACACTAAACAAAAAATAATTTATACTCAAACAGATGTACGGAAGCTCCAGATGAAGCTGGCAAAGCCAGATGTAGGGAAATTTGTTCGTGGACAACAATACTATAACACTTGATAGATTCGATAACTATATTCAATAGAAACATCTTCAGCGAAAAATTACGAAGCGCAATACGATTATGTACTTGAGACGCGGAATATTCTACACAAGGAAGGCTATGCGTCAAGATACACAGTTCATGGGCAGACTGCATGTGGTGTTTTGCATATTTGGAAATGACCACCGCAAAAAAATTTTACCTCGTAAAACATGTCATCTCTTAAGGCAATGATTCGAAAAAACCATAAAACTGTACAATGAAATAAGAGGCGAGAATTTTATGACGTAACACTCTAACGAATAAATACAACTTCGCCAACTATATCATAAAGTTATCGAATAGATAACTCTTCACACCATCGCGTTGTTTTGTTCCTTTACCGCCTCCTGAAAATCATGATCAATTTGCAATTTATCCCAGTTCCTATCAGCCACAAACCTTAAACCTTTCCTCAAAGAGAGAAAGCTCAGCCAATAGATCAGTGATCGCGTTATTTACCACAGATATGGGATCGCATGTGGAAGTCGTCTGAACACGAAGAACGATTTTATGCTCCAACGGATGAGTCTGCTTGTAGCCGGCAAACACGACATTAGGGTCTTTAAGGAGTTGACTACAAACATCATAAAAACACTTTTCATTTATTCATCACAAATCAAACTTTTTCAGCATGTTCCCTAAAGTGTGGTCTTCCTTGTTGATGATGAAAATGTATGCATTTCCGACTTTTGTGTCCCTCTCTATGGTTAACCTATAAACAAAAAAACAGTAAAGGTTGGATTTGTGAAAGCCGCAAAAGCCAAACTTTTGAAAAAACGACAAAGGGAAAAGCATACTTTTTTTCGCCTTCAAAAAGGAGAAACGATTCAAAAGACGGAGGAGCGTTCATGGCCAAATGTGGTACTTAAAATAGGCAATCAGTTCACTGTAAAGTGTCTAAAGAGGACTTTTAGATGAAATTAAAGCGTAAACGAACACAAGCAATATTAATAGCTGTCAATTTTTCAAATCTATTAATATATGTAGAAGACTGCCAATTTAGTTATGCACCGCATGAAAGTAAATATCATCAGACGGCACCGGAACACACGGCATGATGCATATGGAAGTTAAGGAAAGCAGAGAGCGAACGAGAGAAGGAACCGGGGTCATGAAAACAAAACAGCAAAAGTAAACAGTTATTTGCTTATAAAGTTTTATTATACAACAACTGCTACTTGTTTCTTACTATTTTCAGACGAATGATGATTCTGAATTTCGTAGACACGTCGATTAGTGTAGAATGTATATTGCAGACGGTCTGTCTAGGTCAAAGTTGGGGCCTTTACTGAAACACGATTCTTCGACAGGCACAAAGGCATTTGTCCCGATTAAACACGGGCATTTCACGATTGTGCAACCGCCTTTACAGTGCAAAAGGCAAAACGGTAAAAATGGCAAATCGAAAAGACCGGATGAGGCACTTTCTTCATAAATGTACTTGAAATTGCAAACCAATCTGAGGATCGCAACCAGAGTTGAAAAACTGCCCTATAAATACATATAACAAATCTCAATAAAGAAAGGTGTTCGCCACGAACAAAAATCAGTGGAGCCAACCCACACTCGTGGGGGTGCATGGTGCAGATGCCGATGCGTTGCAGCCAGTAACGCCTGCTGAGCATCGAAACCTTGCCGCCATTTGTGAACGATGCGATGAACAGGACCCGAATTACAATTACGGAGACATCTGCGAGAACATCGATGGTTGCAGCTAGCTAGCAGCACCAATCGAGCAGCTCTCCGATCAACTTTCCCATCGGAAGAGGAAAATGTGACCCGATGAGAGCACTCTGCAACTCACCGAAAATACGACCCGACGACAAACAGTCCCACGTAGCACTTCAGAGACTGTAGCATAAAAATTAGAATGGTCGTGAGAGGACGAAGGGGAAATTTTGAAGTCACCAGAGCTTTTCGCTCCTTGGCTGATGCTTCTGGTACATTAGCAGTTTATACACGTGCTCGTGTCTGTGCAAAAATATTTTGTGAGGAACTGATCCGCACTGATTCTCCGAGCGCCCTCGACGCACATAGGTTGCCGACGAAGTGACAGAAGATCTGACTGAGACTATTTTGTAGTCTTGCACCGAAGCGAACCCCATGAATATGAATTATCGCTGAAACAGATTCGCCCACTGGAAACCTCACGGTATTAGCCAAAGGGAAAATTCGAGCAGATTACAGAAAGGTGGCATGCACTAGTACATAGAACTGAACATTATACAGATCAATCCCGTTCTGAAAGTCGCTTCAAACCCGCATTTGATTGTGACCATGACATTCGTTATCGGGTGCACTACAACTACAAACAAATCAATGAATTAAAAAAAATAACGATATAAATCATAAAGTAAATACTCAGAATGCTTATTTACAGATTTTTCGCTTATATAGCATTCACAGCGTATTATGAGCAAATAAACCATAAATTTAAGGAAGGAAACTTTGCAACAGCGCGTTTCGCTAAACCTACCGTACCCTGTTAGGGCATATCCTGCGAATCGTGTCTCAGCTGCCATGAAGCTGTTCTGTTAGCGATACTGCTGTGTATTAGAGCTAAACACGTGTTTATGCCTCAGGGCTTTTAGATAGTATGGATGTCATCGCTTTAGAAAGGTAATTCTGTCGTTCTGTTGCCATTGGATTCTTCCGTATGAAAGTGATTCAAATATGATGGAATTATTTACGGCGCAGCAATGGTTGTATTTTATACTTCTAAGGGACACATACAGGCGTTAAGAGTAATAGATTAAGCTAAAATCCGGTTAGAGGACGAATAAATTCTATGATTAAATTTATTCATGGTTGCTAACCGTGTTTCATCTAAATGGTTGTGTTACTTCTGATGGATGCGAGTACTCCCTGCAGAACTCAAGAACTGTCGACATATTTCGACAGCTTGCCAGGCAGCACGTCGGGAAAGTACCGTCAACGACAGTTGTGGATCCGCAGGCAATACAGTAGAATTGGGGAGAGCGTGGGAAAGGAACTCTGTCATTAGCATATATCTACCAATCGCCATCGTGTCATTATTTGTTTACAAGAGCTAGTAAGGTTGATAACTTTCGTTCACGTAGTTCTCTGAAGAATTCTTTGCAGGCGTTCCAACGACAGTGTTGAAGTGACCAAGTGCAAATTGCAGGCGATATTAAGTCGTGCGAATGAGCGGGTTGCAATGCGCTAAAATGTGCAGTAAATCTGTAATGGTTTTGGTCACTGGAGGCACCTTTGGTCGTTGAGTTATTTAGGTGTCTCCGTCCATGTTTTTGGTAACGAAACGTATGTCGTTACCGTTAATGATCACCGAAGTGCTAAGGACGCTTGTACTATTTAGAGTTATTCTTCGGGCAACCTTTTCTGACTGTTACAATGACACGTAATCGTGAACGTTGAAGACACCGTCTGATGTGTCTACCTCAACGACTGGAAAGAAAAAGCGGTCATTGAAAATGACTGACTGACCCTGGGCACTATAACCAGAATGTATGCCGCAAGAACTGATAGCGTCATGCACGGAACATTGGAAATAGGCAACCGCGGTGTATCCATTGACGCTGTTTTGAGGTAATAATTGTCTATGTTAATTTTTGTTTTGTTTCGGTATTGTACCTCGTACTATAAAGCGGTTGTACTAAGGTTGTGGGAGCGATTGTGTGCAACGGCGACATCGCGCTCCTCGCTTGTTTCAGATTGAAACACCTCACCGTAGGGATTTGGGCGGTAGCAGAGTAAATTAATCAGTTAATACTCTTCGTCATCGCCTGTAACAGGACAATAAACATAGCTCTTTCAATGCAGATGATGAAGAAGATCATTTTTAGTGTTTCAGTATATTATAGCATATATACGCGGAGTAAATCTTGTGAAGATTATGATTATTATGAACTTTACAGGAGTGTACTGTACAGCGTGACGAGTGGAATGACATATTTACAATTCTCTAACTTTTCGTTCGGTCGTATACTTAAATATACTTGGCTTTACCGTCTGTTGATTTCGATTGACATGAACTGGATGGGTGCTGGCATTGAAATTTTTTCTCCAGGCCGAACTGCGCATTATATTATTCCGTAGACTACTCGCGTAACTGGTAATTCCATGTTCATATTTTTCTTGGGCGTGACGCCACAGTGGAAAAAGTCAGTTTTGAACTCCGGAGCTGTCGGGTTTAAATCCACAGAATCAACGACATCTGTCTAAACCGCAGATTCCCTTGAACAAGCAGTATACCTCACGTTGCCCCAGTGCAGCCAGCTAATAGACGGCTAGCAGATCGTTGCCTTGAGAAGCAATGGCAACATTATGCGTTAATGTGATCATGTCGGAACCGTCATGGTGTCTGATGCGAGCTTTTCATAGGGCTGCAACTCGCCTTGACCTACCTCGTAGCCGCTTAATCAATGTCATATACAGCAGAAGACGTAACCCCTGTTGCTGTCTTATGTGCGACCCTAAGGCACAGGGTGTGACAGAAACTTGATGCAGGCAGAAGAATAGCGAGGTCGCTATTCCTTTATCTTAGTTCTGCTTATAACGTTGTTCCTCTAGATCAAAAGCTCCATTGATCTCTCAGTCACTAGATGGTGACCAGCTACTTCTCCCGTAGCCGCAAGTTCTTCAAGATTGACAGGAAAGACTCTTGGATGCGACCAAATAGTCTCAGAATTGTTCATTGTTCCGTTCTCTCTTTTCTACTCCTCAGCATCTTCACAAATGAGTGTGTTGTTGCCTCCTTCCCCTCATCTCATAAAAATATCAGGTACACCCTCAATGCTTTATCACGATTAATGATACGTCTCGAGAACTGGCAGAAATACAAGAATGACATCAAGCTCATTTTTTCATCGCCCATCCCCGCTTCTACTTTCGGTTCGCGCAGGCAGACACGTCAGACAGAGCTTCCAACGTTCCCGATCCTGTGCCAGAGTCTGAGCTTAGGCAATAAACAAATGGAGTCTGGAACATGCTTCTTCCATATATTTGCACGTGGCCGTCCCCTGGGCCTTCTGCCGGTCGGATTTGCAAGGAACAGTTGCTTAGCCTTCCTTTCTGGAGGAGTTCGCAACACATGTTCATGCCATCGCAGCTGTGACTTCTCAATCTGGAAAAGCAAGGGCTGTATTCCAAGGCTCTTCCGGATGTCACTATTCCGGATCATGTCCAGATACGTATAGACAGCAACTCGTCTGGCAATGCCTATTTAATCAGCTTGTACTCGGGTTCGAAGCTTTCCAGTCACGGTCCACGACTTATGACCATAGGCACATTTGGGGATTAAGATCAACTTGAATAGCCACAGCTTAGTTTTCAGACTGTGCTCTGCTTTAGTCACAGTGGAAACGGCCAGTTCACCCAGAACTCCACTGGCTACTCCAATTCGCCGGTCGATCTTTTCCTCCAATTTTCCATCGCTAATAAATACAGTTCCGAGGTACTTGAACTTTTCCACCTGCTCCAGCGCCTCTCCATTAATCTGTAGAGAGCAACGAGCAGGAGAACGAGAAAACACTAGGCATTTCGTTTTAGATGCGTTCACATGCATGCCGGTTACGTCTCACTCGGCTGCGAACCTTTCTGAAGAGC